CAAAAACATCAAAATGAATAAGTAATAGGCTATTTTGTACCCAAGTTGTGAGCCTTCCTGAAAAACGGTCGGTTTTTATGGGTGTGTCGCACTGAAGACTTGGAAATAAACGGCCACTGCTGTGAGTGGATAACAGTTTTGCATATTATAATAAGTTTAACTCACCCGTCGGTGTATGTGGGGGAAAATGTCCAATGTTGTCAAATGGCAACCGGATTCGCCCATACATGTTCGACCCAGAGTCCGTGTGTTGCACAATTCCTGTCAGATCCAATATAGACGGCACAGCACCGTTCTTTACTCTTAATCGGTCTGCAAATCCAGTCTTGTTTACAAAACAATCCTCAGTGAAATGAAGCGAACAGACGACGATGTTTTACCCTCATCAGCTGGAACGTCATTAAAAATAAAGTTTATCCATGAAGTCCTATTGGAATCCAGAGGAAGCTTATGCAGCGACATGTCTTCTGCCACAACCAGGCACTGCAAAATATTCTGTATTGCTCGGTAGAACGATCCGGTTTCATCACGAGGTAGACATGTAAGTTAGGCTACTTAGCTATGCGTGTAATGCGCGAATAGGTGGGCGGGGCTAAACCGGCCGTGTTGAAGTAGGTGTTGATCTTCTTCTGCGGGGGTGGTGTTTTAACCCCTTCGAGTTCGACGTCATAGTTTCCCACTTTTCAAAACGAGACGTTTTCAGAGGCTGGTGTAAATACAAGCTTTTATTGGACTAACAAGGACGTTTTCAGTTCTAAAACCTACAGGATATTCATATGATAACCTCTTAGATATCAAAAGCTCAAGGAAAATTTGATTTCTCAGTTCATCACCCCTTTAATATTGATGTTTAGTTATATCGAAAGCTACATGCTGCTGGGTTTTGTAGGCGTAAGTTCATTGTTTATTCTGCATCAAGTATGGAAGCTGATAAACTTGTGTAATTATAGACATGTAATGGGAAGTAATACAGTACATCGACATTGGGATCAGTATTGATCTCCTGCTGATAGCCTATACACAGAAGAGTGATGTTTAGTCAAGGTCGATTTAGCCAACAATAAGTGATTTTATTATTACTTTAACTTCAGTTTTACTCAGTGATACATTAATGTCTATTGCATTTGCATTTTAGAAACAAGATCTCTTTGTCAGCTGATCCACCTCCTCATTACCCTCTACACCCACATGTCCTGGAACCCATAAAAATGAAATACTTACTCCTATTCTGTATATTCTGTACAGGTTTTGTAGCACTTCATACAAAATATCCTGTCTAGAGGCTGGCTTTCCACTATTTATACTCATTAAAAACCGAATAGGAGTCCGAACAAATCACTACATCCAATTGGTCGAACTTCTTCCACCCATTGTCTTCAAGTCTTATCACTTTTCACTCGTGTTTGTAGTTCTAAAGGGATCCTCGTCCAACTCGTGAATGGTTGTGGGAAATATCAGCCATTAAAGTGTGTGCATCGATTTACACTTCGGATTCTGACCAGAAATAGTAGACCATATGTCTTTGAAACACTCATTTCAACATTCTATTTTCAAATATATGGACGGAAAGGACAGATAGTATGCGAATTGGGATGCAGCTACTGATCCTTCCTATAGTCACAGTCTGTCTTATCTCCGCCTCTTCACTACACTGCCCAGTATCCCTCTTGTCTACACTCCTGCTTGTCATCATCATCGTCACCTGTGTTTAGTGATTGTCATCATCTGTGCACCCTGTTTCTGTTAATTAGTATCTGTATTTATGCCGCGTTCCAGGCAACCAGTAACTCGTGTTTTTCCAACCTTATACTCGTGAAAGTGTACTCTTGCCTCATGCGCTATTTTTCCTCCTCAGTTTTCCACAAATAAACAAGGAGTAAGCACTTTTGGCGTTAGAAATTATTACAAATGCTCGTGAGCCCCGTAAAGTCCGCCATGCTGGTTTGTTTAAATCTAGGTAGTTTGGCGTGAATGACCTGGAATGCTACAAAGTCGTGAGTCGTGGTTTGAAGTCGTGATTTACGTGCTCACGCGATCCTAGGGCGCCATCAAGCTGACGCTAAAGGGCGCCTAAAGCGTCAGATATTGAAGCATGGTCAAATGCTTCCCAAGGCGTCAGTTATGTTGTGCAAATATCCATCATGCTTCAGGGAAAGGTTGATTTGCTCTAAGCCCGTGTGTCCACCAAAGCGTTTTTAGCCTGCTGAAAACTAGACGCTCTGCTGAAGACGCCATGCTTTGGGCGCTTGAGTGCGTTTTGGCAGCGCAGCGTTTTTTCTGTTGAGACGTTTCGTTGCTATGATACAGAATATATGCAGCAGTTTGAATGTTGTGACAGTTGGTCGGTGTGGTTTAGTCCCGCCCCTCCTCCACTGTGATTGGACGGCTGGGTAAAATGTGACAGTGATGAGCGCTGTGTTTTATCCAAAGTTGAACATTTTTCAACTCCCAGTGACCAGTAAAAACACTGGGCGCTCGGCGGTACGCTCATGGCGTTTAAAAAAACGTGGTGCTCCCATTGAAAACAATTGAAAACATGCCAGGCGCGTGGAAAAACATTTTGGTGGACACACGGCCTAAAGGTGACCTTCTTTAGCATCACCCTTTCCCACATGGCAACATCCTGAAAAAGAAATGAGAGGTTCCAGCTCCTTTGGAAGATGAATGTGTCTTAAGGAAAAAATAAGTTAGCCTATAAAACCCTGTTTCTTACTTTTATTATCTAATCTGAACCAGAATATGTACAAAACTGCAGAAAAACAGGCCTCTAAAGGTTTCATAAAAGAAACGATGGAGAGCTTTAAGGGGACATTCATTGACTTTAATGGGATGAACTGATTGCCCATATCTAATAGAAATTGTCGCCTTTGGCTAAAGCGGGTGTGGAATTAGATTACATGTGGAACACAATGCTTTTACTGCTTCTTAGAAAACAACTAATTGAATCTATGTAGAAGAAGAGAGAAGAAACAGGCAACTCAAGGGTGGAATAAAAACAGACAAAACCGTAGTGACGGGAGATGGATCAGTAGTTGTAGTTCATTTTTTATATCTTCTTGACAAATTACTCAGGTGAGAATTAAGAGAGGGATTTGGGGGGATTTTACCTTACTATAGGGGGAAGTGAGCAATGTTTTCTGAAAACATTTAAAGGCATGCATGCACACATGCATTTGATTCAACATAAAGTTGTTTTATACATGGAGCAGATCGCCACATGGGGGCTCAACATGTAGTACATGCTGCTTGATTTTGAGGCTTTTTCCAGGTGCCACTGCCACATAGTTAATGAGACATTCAACTTTGAAGCTTGTGCTAAAAAAGTTCAATGTTCAAACTCCTCCACTCTTTTGACCATTGTGCCGTGTCTTACTGTTTTCTTTTAATGTCTTGTGCATGTGCGCCATGTTTTTAAAACGCACCAAATTAAAAGGGATTAAACTTAAAACTTGTCTTGATACCCTGCCTTTTGTATTAACTATAGTGCTGTGGCTCTGCAGTTGGAAAATATTGGATGGAAATGCTTTCTCTGTGAATGGCCCCAAAATGATAATGGTCATGTTTCCACAAAAAAAGTGTTGTTGTTTTTTTTTAAGTCGTTAGTTATAAAGTTGCTGGGGTGTTGTGATTTGCATGCTATTTTTTATATTTCTTTACTAACTTTAAAATATATATATATACTGTGCTCTTGGCTTCATTAAAAAACCCTCTATAGGCAAAGCTTTAATCACCATATATCCTCCCGCAAAATCTGAAAAAAAAGTTTTCTGAATTTAGTATTTTTTCATGACATTACATAGAATTATGTCATAAACTTGGTATATAGATAATTCTCAACTGTTATATAGCATAGTAAATTGATTTACCATTTCACTTTATATGCAATATGTGGGTAAAATGGTCATAAATGGAAAGTCCTATTCAATATAGCTGAATTATTCAATAGCTCTATACACTGTATCTAATTTGATTATTAATATATTCTTGGGGCAATAATAAAATACGATGTGTAATGGAGTAATAATTATAATAGAATTATAATAATATCTAATATTTCATAGTAATATTGATATATAATTTCTTTCCCTTCACTTGTTGTGTTACTCAAAATGCCTGATAAACATGTTTTAAGTCCTGGTGTCCTCTACATATTTTTTGATAAGAAACCACATTTTCCTGAGATGTTGCTTTATGAAAAAAAAAAAAAACAATTTGAAAATTAATCATTTAAATGATAATTACAAAATATTATCATTTTCCATACATTTGGCCTCCAAACATTTGATAGCTATCTCTAAAAAACAAACAAACAACAACAAAAAAACTGTGACATATATGATGCCGGAGAAATTCACTAAAATATAATGTCCAATACAGTGGACAAAAGTCTATTCCTGGAGGATATGTTTTCAAACTCCTATATAATCTCGCAAGGTGCTTATTTTATTAAGTCCAGCGGTGGCGCACCGCATTTTTGTAGAGTGTGGTATTCGGGGGTGGAGGGGAAGCTTTAAAAATACTAACAATTTGACGACGGTGATGATGATCATACTGAAAATATCACGTGTGGAAAAACTGGATGTTTGTTTAAATGATCGCAATTTATAGCCTCTAACTGGAAGGGAGGGGAGAGTAAAAACTTCCATGAAAAGCAGCAGTCTCTTATTTTCTGGATCAAGCAGGAGGGACGGATCATGGAGGGACCCCCTCATGTTAACAAGTACAGAGTCATCTTTAATTATTCCAGACTCCACAAGAGACACTTTATGCAGACATACAGTTATCCCATGAAGTGTGGTGCGTCCAACAGGAAATGTCGAGTGTTTGGCACTATAAAGTTTTCTTTTCTTCGTTAACCGTGGCACGACGCTTACGAACATTCGTTGATTGTAAATCGTTTTGCGCGCTCGGTTGTTTAACTGTGTTGATGGTGCATGGAATGCTTTAATGTCTCACAGTAACAGTGAACTTTAATTTCTCCTATCTTTCAGCCGGTGAAAGCTGGCCAAGAATCTCTACCTCAGCGGGAGAACAACTGCTGTAGCGTTTCCTATCATCATCATCATCCTCCTCCTCAGCAGCAGCAGCATCACCATCAGCATCATCATCGTCAGTGCGAGCGGCACGCATCTCACTTGCTCCACATCCTTGGGGCCACGAGAGCGCCAGGGCGCAAAGATGAATATCCAAGTCCTGTCTGAGCACAAACTGTCTTCAGTGGCACCGTTGAAACAGTTTAACGTGGAAAAAAAGGAAGTGGAGCTGATCCTGGTGAAGGAGCAGAATGGGGTCCAGTACACGAACTCTTCTGTCGTGGCCTCTCCGAGCTCCCACGGCTGCACCTCCGGCTCCGGTGAGATTGAGGAAAGGGAGACATGGGGCAAGAAATTGGACTTTCTACTCTCTGTCATAGGCTTTGCTGTGGACCTGGCCAATGTCTGGAGGTTTCCCTACCTGTGTTACAAAAATGGAGGAGGTAAGATATTTATTTTGAGGGTTAACCTATACGCTGCTTTTACATATTGGCTAATAGTGAGTTATACTATTTAACTACAATTTCGTGAAGCAGTTTATAAACTCTTAGCTATTGCCTTTGAAATTCATTTGAATTGCATATTTGTATAACAGACGCACCGTGTCTCAAACTATCTCTAAAACACATCCTGTGTTTCAGAAATAAATTTGAGTTAAATAAATGTAGCCCATTGCTGTTCTGATGAGTAAGAGGATCTTAAAATAAATGAAAAGGGCTATTAAAATGCTAGTCGAATCTGTCCATTTGTTGTCCAACTGTTGCCTTAACATGTTTTCTAAAAGATTAAACTTTTTACTTTTGAAAGTGTTTACATTTTCAGAAAAAGTATGAATCACCCTATAATTTATGGAGAATATATTTTACATATTTTTTTTATTGTATTCACACAATTAGACAAAACTTGCTTGGCCAATCTATTCCCATCATTATTACTCAAATCATTCAGGATTATAAACCAGTTGTTTCTCTGAACAACCTGCCAGCACATTGCGTCCCCTTGGAATTATAAGGTTATATCTGACATTTTTGTCAAAATTGAGTTATTCACATATTCTGTGACAATTTATTTACATTATGTGATGTGTTTTGTACAGGGTCCCTGTTATTTTTATGTTTGAAAGAAACTTGTTCCCCATACACATTTTCCTATATGGAATGCAAAAACTTTGAAGCTCAATATCTCAAAACTGTTCAGAACGCAGATAGAACCTTCTAATTCCAAGGGGACGATGATGTCTCAATGTCAGCAAACTCATTAACTTCTGGCTATTGTTTAACGGTTTTGTTGTCTTTTATACTTTATGAGTAACTAAATATATTGTCTCACTCTTTAGGCATGTAGGGGTTTGAGACTTTTGCAAAAGTGTATTCATTTAAATGCATCATGACAATCACCTATTAGTAAAATAAAATATTTCCTTGTGCGTGATAAACAAAGCACCAATTATAATTTTTAAACTATAATGAACTTTAAAAGGTTCAACCAGGCAAAGTTATAAAATCTGTGATAGGAGCTCTTGGGGTAGGGAAAAGATCCAAAGAAAGGAAAAGCAGGTCCCAGGCGCTTAGTGTGGCTTAAATCATTTTAAAAGTACACGAGCCAACATGTTTCGACCAACAAGTGGTCTTCTTCAGGGCAAAGTAACACAAAATATGAGAATGACTTAATGATTAAAACTAGAAACCGACTTCAGCAAAGACAAATAGAGCAGGGTAGATTGCTAAAATCTCTGATTTTGAAAACGTCAGGGGTCAGACAGCTTCATGAGAAGGTAATATGTGACATGATACAATACACCTCTAATGTAATGGTTACACCATGAATCGTTTTTTCCCCATCTGAATATATTCGAATGCAAACTACGCAAAGTCAGAGTTAAGAACTGATTACATCAAACTCTAAACCCACTGTAGATTGACCATTCACTACATTAGCAGCAACAATGACAATGTCTATTGTCATTTATTATCAACAATCAATGTAAAATTCGATAATGTGTCCCCCAGGTGCCTTTTTGATCCCATACATTCTGTTCCTGTTTATTGCTGGGATGCCTCTGTTTTACATGGAACTTGCCCTTGGCCAGTATAACAGAGAGGGAGCAGCCACTGTTTGGAAGATATGCCCTGTGTTTAAAGGTACGTTAAAAATTTGTAAACAAAAGATGTTGAGATGAAATGTACCCTGTTCTCAAAACACTGTGAGTTGCAACACACAAAGCTACTTCACTGTCCAATAAACAGCAAAACAAATGTTCTAAAATAGCTTTTTGGATGTTTCATTTTCACATGACCTGGCGAACACAAACCGGGTTAACTCACTGATCCAACAAAAGCCAACAACTGTTTGTTGGGGCAGTGAACTAGGTTATGCAGTGGCTCTGATGTGACTAATGTCAATGCACACACTTTAAACTTGTATTAAATCAAACAGAGGCCTGAAACAGATAAAGAAAAACTTTTGCCCGTATACTAACAAAATATGTGTGACTTTCCTCCTCAGGCGTGGGCTACACTGTGATCGTCATAGCATTGTATGTGGGCTTTTACTACAATGTCATCATAGCCTGGTCTCTGTATTACTTATTTGCTTCATTGACGAATAAGCTGCCCTGGCTCCATTGTGATAACCCGTGGAACAGCCCCAACTGCACAGTTCCAAATCGAATCAATGGCACCTTCTTGGGTAATGGAACCTCCTATGCCAAGTACAAGAACACACCGGCTGCAGAGTTCTACGAGTGAGTCCAAAAATCTTTTGCTCTTTAGCTTTGCAGTTGTAATTCAGAGCTTATTTACAGTAGCATGAAAGCAAAAAAACAGTTTTAGGTGTGAAGCAATGTCAGTTAAAAGAATTCAGGCAGACAGTTGATAGCCTCACTATCTGACGTCAGCAGTCAGCTTGAGATTTGTTCAAAAGTACGAGTACCATGCTTATTAAACAACTCTTTTATTTTATTTTGTCTGGTGTTCCAAACAGATTAAAACAAGTACATGAAACATCTTCACTAACAAAATCAGTTATGAGTGATATACCTGTTTCACTAGTCAGGTGTTTCCTTATGCTTCACGATACCTGTGATGTTTTCCGACATTGTTCAAATTTGTCATGTTGTTCCAGTTGCTTGCCGCTTCCTATGGAGTCTTGCTGATAAAGCCTGTAATGGAGCTATAACTCACCTATCGCTGTTGGGGATTTATTTTCTATCCATTCTTTCATTCCGTCATGCATGTAATGTTTTGAAGGGCTGGCACAAGCATGGCACATATGCACAGCTGTGTGTGTGTCTGGTGAGATCATGAAAACATTCTTATAGATATGGATGATATCTTTTAGATCGGACAGGGAAACATGAAAAACACATTTCAAACCTGTGCTGTGTCACTGTCAGGCTGTGTTGAAGTGTTTTGGGCTGTGATTAATCATTACTGCTATTGTGTGTGTCCCCATATTGTGGCATACATACAGGTAGGCAAAATAAAAGTTGGGACACTATATTCCAAGTTGATATTGTGGCTTCATATTTAGTCAAACACTTGGATGTGTATTATGTTTTAAACATTTGACCAAAATCAAGCTTAAATGTTTCAAAGTCTCAAAGAGTTTTAATGTTTTTGACCAGCGAATGTTTTGTCCATCATTAGAACTTCCGCACTTGAGGCAGTAAATGCATCGCATTACGTTTTCATCAACTTACAACTTAATAATTTGTATGTACTATACCTATTCAAAGAATCAGTTCATTATTTAGCCTTGCATTGCAAACTAGCAGAGACGGTTCAAACTGCGTGCAGCACTTCACTCACGATATAGGTGGGGTGGAGTTATGAGTTTTCATTGACAGTTTGAGGATCCAAGGGATCTTCGTATATTAGGATTAGTCTGAAGCTCTTTTTAATACTTTTCATTGGGTAAATATTTTCAAAAATCCACAGACAGACATAAAATGTGACCAATAGTAATGATTTATCAAAAAAAAAAAATGAAATATGGAGATACAAGGTTTCTGCCCGATATTTAAAATGATCTAGATAGAGTCTGCATGTAGTAACGTGCCTAGAAGGCATAACTCCGGCCCTTCTACTATAATTGAATGAGGAGTCAGCTATGAAAGAGACTAAACCGGTGAGGTGTATCATTGCTAGTTTACTATCAAAAGAGGTTGATTTCCGGCCATTCTAGCAGCTATCATCATTTTTTTGGCTAGATGAGAATTCTTATCCTTGCTGATGGAAATTTTTAAAGCAGTTGTTATAATTTCTTCTAGAACAGTGAAGCAAGCTATACAAAACCTGTTGTGTTTTTTCTTAGACATGAGATGCATATGTATCAGAGGGCAGCCATTTGGAGAAGTTTGTTGCTTTAGTGATCACGGATGAATGCAAAGAAAAAATGTTTTCAGTCTGTATTTATTCAGTAATATCGCCACATTTCAGAGTTATTTCAACTTAGAAAGCCTTTGAGGAAAAAAAAATCTGGGAACTGAGCATTCATGAGATCTTTCATCTTTAAATGAAAAATATGAAAATTGTCATCATTTACTCACTCATTACAAACCTGTATGGCTTTGTTTCTTATAACAGAAGAGATTTTGATAGTTTATTGAATGGACGTCAATGTTCACCAAAATGGTTTGGTTACCAACGTTCTTAATAATATCTCCTTTCGTCATTCTGCAGAGGAAAGAAAGACATCCCTTTAAATCATCCAGGTATATTGAACCCTGTTGCTGCTCATGAGTAGAACACAGGCACAATGATTGGCTAATAGGATGTGAAAACTCTGGCTCAAAATTAGGTCAGTATCACTGAAACTTTTCTGCAGCGCTCGAAACTCTGAAATTCCTGTCTACAATCTATGACGTGTACAGGGCTATAACACTCTTGATGTAGACTGAAAGAAGGGCAGGCACTTGCACTTCAAAGAAAAACAGCCCTTTTCCGTGTCTAAAGGAAAATTTGGCTCCTTGTGTTAGAGGAAACCAGAAGAATGCATGGAACAATGAAGAACCCACATCACTCGCACAAAATCAAAAATACATCATCAGATTCTAGTGAGGGTCACTGTGTGTTCATTCCTTCAATTAAAATCTGATGCATGTTTTAGAGCAGTTGTGTTATATATTAATATATATATTTTAATAAATCATTTATTGTAATTCTTCGAACCCTCAACTTGTTTCTTCTACTTCTTTTCCTGTCTTTCCTGGTGATACCACTTCTTGTACTTATTGCTTGTCTTGTTCTCAGTCTGTTTAGCAGTTTTTCTCACTTTCTCCTGTGCTCTTTTGTACCCTCTTTTGGACTGGTTTCCCACCCAGCAGTGCTTTGAAATGTCATTTCCCCAGCTGTCTTCTGCATGTGAGGGGATGTGGAAAGCTGTCATTTCCTCCGCTCTCCCCCCTCATGCCGCTCCATTATAATAGTTTTCGGCCACCAATAATCCTGCCATCATGGGACAGCACACATGGCACTAGACTAGAGAATGTTCATTAACGTCACAGATACAGCAGACTCGGCTCAGCAGGTGTGCCATAAACTAAATATTAGATTAAGCAGTGTTTTGCTCAGAATAGCTACAAACCAATCACAGAAAAAGCTGTTGAACCAGTAGCTATCAAGCCGGACGCCCCAGATAAAACCCAGTCAAATTCATCGGTCTTACACAAACACTTTCTAAAACCTCCGACAACCAGACAAAAGCAAAACATGACAAGCTCAACAAAGTGAATTTCATCATCTTGTGCGCCACCCACATATCCTTTCACTAGGCTGTCTCTGCCGATCTTGACATGTTTGAGTCAATCACTGTTTGTTGAGAGTAATGAACCGTTACGGCTCTATTGTATTGTTTTACACAGCGGGTGTCCTAAATCTAATTATTCCGTCATTACTGAAATCTTGTCTTATCACACACAGTCTCAGATTTAACACCCAACTGATGTCATAAAGACAGAAATAGTGAATTTCGAGGAAAACATATAATCATTTGGAAAGTCAAGACAGAGATTTGTAAAATACTTATTGTGCCTTTAAATAAGAATCAATAAAAATAAATAAAATAATACGCTAGCTCATAATAATGAACTAGAATATAGGTTAATTATAATTCGCTTGTTTGATTTTTATTATTATTTTTATTTTTTTAGCAAATGCCATGGGGTTGTTTCAGTAAATACTCTTATATGCTTCATTTAATTAATTACAAAAATGAAAAAAATGAAAAAGAAGGAAATGTAATAAAAATATATAAACAGCCCTGAACTCTTGTCAACCCAAGGGGTCCATAACCACAACGAATGTGGTTTCACAAGCACATCTTAGGACATTCTGTTGCCTGTTATGAAAACAAATATAATTTGCTCCAGAGTTAAGCAAGCTGTGATGAGACCCCACATGCCATCAGAAATCTCTTCTGTGGCCATTTTCTGGCTTAGAGTACATAGCTGGGGATATGTTGAAATCATAGGTGTTTGGATTTAGCTTGGCAAGGACAGAACATCAGATGAACAGCTCCTAGAGGGAAAGCTTACCAAGATACTCACCAATCTAATGTAATTATTCAATTAGGGGAGGTTCATATCTGTCCTGCGTCCTTTCTATAAATAACAAATCATGGGATCCTTTAAAAGGTAGCGTAAAAGTGCATGTGAAAGTCCAAGGTCAAAGAATGAACAAAAGGTGACCATGATGATTTAGCCTTATTAGTTACTGTCTTTTTTCTTCTTTTCTTTTCTTTTTTTTAAAGGTTAGTTATATACACTGATGTCACATGCAATGTTAAAAAAATGTGTAAAATTATATATTCCAGGTTAATAATTGAATTTAATAATTGACTTACAGTAATTCCACAGTAGGACTTCTCTTATATCTAACTGCACTGTTGGAATATCTGAAGGTATCCAGCATGCAGTGCAGCTTGAATAGATTATGCTGTGTAGTTTCTGGATTCTTGTTGGTTTTATCTGTGCTGCTGAACTTATTTTTATTTCACTTTTATCAGTTTGTGTTGTTAGTTCATTTTGTAATGTTCAGACCTTATCTTTTTTTATTATTATTTGTTGAGTGTCACATTGGTGTGTTTTATATGTCGAGTATTGATGTCTGTGCATGAAAAAAAAATCTTGTTTTGCAAGATGATGTCACTCCTTTCAAAGATAAATATCAGCAGATGCTTAACTATTGTGAAATATCCATTTACAAACAATTATGAATTTGAAATTATCTATAGGTAAATCTTTATGCTGATAATAGTTGATTAGCCTTGTTATTGCCAATTAGCCTTATTTTATATTCTAGCTTGTTGTTGTTTTAAAGGGTTAGTTCACCCAAAAATGAAAATTAAGTAATTAATTACTCACCCCCATGCTGTACCAACCCCGTTAGACCTTCGTTCATCTTCGGAACACAAATGAAGACATTTTTGATTTAATTTGAGAGTTGGATCACATGCTCCCTATAAGGGATTGAAACTTGGCGGCCCAGAAAGTCATCGAAGAAAATGTTTAAATATTGACTACAGTGGCTCAACTATAGGTTTATCAAGCGACGAGAATACTTTTTTTGCATAAATAAATAAATAAATAACGACTTTATTCGACTATTCCTTTTCTTTCTTCTGGGCCTGAGAAGAGAGTTCAAGAGATTTCCACAATCGTTATTTTTCTACTACTTCCTGTTCAGTTCTCGCGCATGCATCGTGTAGTGGTTATACAGCTCTCAAATTTTATCAAAAATGTCT